AAAGCCTAGGAGACATAGCAACTATACCTAATACATAGAAACAATCACAGTGAAGCAGCCAAAATGAGGAGACAAGGAAATATGTCTCAAATGAATGAAAAGAACAAAACTCCAGGAATAGAAATAAACAAAATGGAGATAAACAATCAATCAGATGCAGAGTTCAAAACACTGGTTATAAGGACGCTCAAGGAACTTAGTGAGACCTTCAAGGAACTTAAGGAGACCTCCAAGGAACTTAGTGAGAACATCAACAACATAAAAAAGGACCAGTCAGAAATGAAGGATGCACTAACTGAAATAAAGAATAATTTACAGCGAATCAATAGTAGAGTAGGTAAAGCCAAGAAGCAAACCATTGATTTGGAATATAAGGAAACAAAAAAACACCCAATCAGAATAGCAAAAAAAAAAGAAAAAAAGAATCCAAAAAAAATAAGGATAGTGTAAGGTGCCTCTGGGACAACTTCAGGCATGCCAACATTAGCATCATAGGGGTGCCAGAAGGAGAAGAGAGAGAATAAGAATTGAAAACATATTTGAAAAAAATAATGACAGAAAACTTCCCCAACTTGGTGAAGGAAACAGACATACAAGTCCAGGAAGCACAGAGAGTCCCAAACAAGATGAACCCAAGGAGATCCACACCAAGATACATCATCATCAAAATGCCAAAGGTTAAAGACAAAGAGATAGCCAGGCTAGTGTGGTTCAATGGTTGAGCGACAACCCATGCACTAACAGGTCAGGGCACATGCCCAGGTTGTGGGCCAAATTCCCAGTTGGGGGCATGCAGGAGGAAGCCAATCAATGTTCTTCTCTCATCAATGGTTCTATCTCTCTCTCTCCCTCTCCCTTCCTCTCTCTCTAAAATTAAAAAATAAAAAAATATTTTAAAAAAATAAAGAAATCACCCTGGCCAGTTTGGCTGAGCAGTTAGAGTGTCAGCCTTCGGACTAGGGAGTCCCAGGTTCGGTTCCCGCTAAGGGCACGTACCTCGGTTGAAGTTTGTTCCAAGCCAGTGTTGGTGTCGTGTTGGTGGCAACCATCGATGTGTCTCTCTCATATAGATGTTTCTCTCTCTCTCTCTTCCCCCCTCTCTCCCTCCTGCTCTATCTGAAGATAAATGCAAAAATGTCCTCGGGTGAGGAAGGAAGGAAGGAAGGAAGGAAGGGAAGGAAGGAAGGAAGGAAGGAAGGAAGGAAATAAAAAAATAAAGATAAAGAGATAATCTTAAAAGCAGCAAGAGAAAAGCAGTTTGTTACCTACAAAAGAGCTCCCATAAGACTGTCAGCAATTTCTCAAAAGAAACTTTGCAGGCCAGAAAGGAGTGGCAAGAGATATTCAAAGTGATGAAAAGCAACAACCTACAACCAAGATTACTCTGTCCTGCAAAGCTATCATTTAGAATCGACGGACATATAAAGATGGTCCCAGACAAGAAAAAGCTAAAGGTATTCATCACCACCAAACTATTATTATATGAAATGTTGAAGGGTCTTCTTGAAGAAAAAGAAGATAAAAAATATGAACAATAAAATGGCAATAAATACATATCTATCAACAATTGAATCTACAAACAAAATGAGCAAGCAAAACAGAAACAGACTCATAGATACAGAGAACTTTTTGTTGCTTGCCAAATGGGAAGGGACTGGAGGTATGGGTAAAAAGATGAAGAAATTAAGAAGTACAAATTGGTTGTTAGACTGATGAACCTCAAGGGGAATGGGGGAGGGAGGGCAGGAAGAATAAACCAAAGAACTTTTATGCATATATGCATAACCAATGGACACAAACAATAGTGTGAGGAAGGCAGGAGGGGGGCGGGATTGTGGAGGAGGGGCTCAATGGGGGGAAAAAGAAGGGACATCTGTAATACATTGAACACTAAAGATAAGTTTAAAAAAATACCAAAGAAAAAACAGAGTAACACCCAGACGTGTCATGATGAAAATGTAGTATATTAATGATTAATAATAAAGAGAAAATCTTAAATCTATCAGAAAGAATGAACAGATTACTTAAAAAATGAAAATTGAGGCTGAGAACAGCATTTCACCAAGAACAGCAGAGGACAAACAATAATAGCAAATTTTACAACTTTATATATGAAATATTGGGATAAAAAATATTTCAGTCCAGCCAGTGTGACTCATGGCTTGAGCATCGACCTATGCACCAGGAGGTTGCCGGTTTGATTCCTGGTTAGCACACACATCCAGGTTGTGGGCTTGATCCCCAGTGGGGGGCATGCAGGAGGCAGCCAATCAATGTTCTCTCTCATCAATGTTTCTCTCTCTCTCTCCCTCTCCCTTCCTGTCTCTCTAAAATCAATAAAGAAAAAAATGTTTTTAAATTTTCAGAATTCGGATCTTATGGGGGCATGAGGATGTTAGAAAATTAATATGAGTCCGGCCGGTGTAGCTCAATGGTTAAGTGTCGACATGTGCACCAAGAGGTCACCAGTTCGATTCCCCGTCAGGACACATGCCCAGGTTGTGGGTCCGATCCTCAGTGTGGGGCATGCAGGAGGCGGCCAATCGATATTCTCTCTCATCAATGTTTCTATCTCTCTCTCTCCCTCTTACTTTCTCTCTTTTTAAAATCAATAAACAAAAAAATATATATTACATATATATACATATATATGTATATATATATTATTTAATATATGTATATATTACCCCCAATAACACATTTAGCCAGCTCTGAGGAATAAGGTTTATGCAGTGAGGCAAGAAAAGGGAGCTAACATTAGGTTACAGAAGCTTCCACAGAAAAATGATGAGATAGGGACATGATGGTAGAGAAGACCTGACAGAGTTGTACTTTGGAAGCTGCAAAGTTAGATCACCACTTTACATGATTTTAGCTTGTTTCTCTGTACCGTTTTTGAAAAAGTATAAAGAAGTTAGTTTCCAGATCTTTTCTCACAAAACCCCACTCCTGCAAAAATGCCTCTCCTATTCCCCAAAGTCCATTCTTACATGTTTTTGGTCTATAAATGTATAACAGTATTTTTCAAACTTGACTTACATGCAAAATAAGAAATGTATTTTACAACCCAGAAATCACTCGCTCACACACATAAATATCTTAAATAAATGCTTCAGTAATAGTAACTACACTATTATGTGCCAAACACTGACATTTTCTGTTCTATTTAACTTGGGAAAAAATGCCCATTTTGACTTATTGAACTGATTTCATAACATACCAATTGGCATCAACCTGCAGACTGACAATGATCCAGAAATATTCTGTGTGTGTATAAACATGTGTGTATATATATCTATACATATATATCTATCTTTTTTATATAAATAAAATTAGACTGTACAAATTGTATGTTACATTGTAACTGTCTTTATTTCATATTCTTTTTTACATTCTGTTAATAATCTTAGTGTCACTAAGAATTAAAGCATAGCTATATTCTCATTTGTCCACTTTCCTAATTCATTATTCTATTCTAGAAAAAATAATTTAATTTCTAAAATGATTTTCTATGATATAGAATCATTTGGTGTAGCAGTAACCTTCTTATATATCACAGATCAAAAAGGTATTTTTAAAACCTTCTCTAAGAAATGCTACATTTTCAAAAACAGAATATCCTGTTAAACAGGACAAGCTGTCCACATTGTACTGATTCACTAAAGTGGAATTTGAGGGTGGAGGTATCATTGCTTGAAAGAGTTCTGAGTAATGTCATAAATTATGCCCATGCTATGTCCTTTTATGTACGCTTGTTGAGCTGGACTGCTTATTTATTAGTTTTGTTATGTAAAGTTTTATGAATTTAATCATAGACCTCTATGTTTTTCATAAGAGGAAATATGACAGTGTTTCCACTCTATTTAAAAAATGCAAATAAAGCCTGGCTGGTGTGGCTCAGTGGTTGAGCAACAACTCATGTACTAAGAGGTCGCTGGTTCGATTCCCAGTCAGGGAACATGCCCAGGCTGTGGGCCAGATCCCCAGTGGGGGGCATGCAGGAGGCGGCCAGTAGATGTTCTCTCTCATTGATGTTTCTCTCTCTCTCTCCTTTTCACTTCCTCTTTCTCTTAAATCAATATAGAAAAAATAAATAAATAAAAATACTTTAAAGTTTAGAATGAAAAGGCTCAATGCAAATCACCAATAATTATAATTTTGACTAGTACTTATTACTATGCTAACAACCAATGCCAGATCACTCATTGTGGTACCTTATGAAGCTAAGAATATCTATAATACACTATCCTCAATAAAAAAACTATTTTACTGATAGATATTGCTGTATCATATATAAGAATGTTCAGCCCTTTCTATCAAATACAATGTATTGTATTGTCTATATTTTCTTAATATAAAAATTATTTTTCTTTATTGATATTAGAAGAGTAGAAGGGAGAGGGAGAGAGAAAGAGAGAAACATCGATGAGACAGAATAGTGATTGGCCACTTCCTGCATGCCTCCCACTGGGGATAGGGCCCACAACCTGGGCATGTGTCCCGACCGGGAATCAAACTGGCGACCTCTTGGTGCATGGGTCAACGCTCAATCACTGAGCCACACCAACCGGGCTTAATACAAAAATATTTTAATATGAGCTACCACTACTTCATGTAATAAAATGTTTAGTCCTTCCTATCATATTTCTATCTAATGGTGAGTTGACTTTTAATACTACCTTGAATCACTGCCTTTTCTTTTCTAAATTTATCTTTATCACTGAGGATATTACAGATGTCCTCCATTATTCCCCCATTTCCCCTTCACCTGGTTCCCACCTCACTCCAGGCCTTCAACATACTATTGTGTATGTCCACGGGTTATGCATATATGCATATATAAATTCTTTGGTTATTCTCTATCCACAGTTGCCTTCCCTCTGAGATCCACCTGTGCAGTGCTTCCATGCCTCTGGTCCTATTTTGTTTGACAGTTTGTTTTTTACATTAGATTCCACGTATGAATGAGATTATGTGATACTTGTCTTTCTCTGACTGGCTTATTTTGCTTAGCATAATATTCTCCAGGTCCCTCCATGCTGTCTCAACGGGTAAGAGATCCTTTTTTTTTTTTTTTTTTTAGCAATAATCATGCCTCGGATAAACCTCATTGGCTACAATACTGCCACTGAGCAAAGCTTGAGATCCTTCTTTTTTACAACTGCATAGTATTCCATAGTGTAAAGGTTTTTTATCCACTGATCTACTGATGGGCACTTGGGCTGTTTCCAGATCTCAGCTATTGCAACTAGTGCTACTGTGAACATAGTGGTGCACATATATTCTTTCTGATTCGTTTTTTGGGATTCTTAGGATATATTCCTAAAAGTGGGATCACCGGGTCAAATGGCAGTTTGATATTTACTTTTCTTGAGGAAATTCCATACTGTTTTCCACAGTGGCTGCACCAGTCTGCATTCCCACCAGCAATGTACAAGCGTTCCCTATTCTCCACATCATTGCCAGCACTTGTTTGTTGATTTACTGATGGTAGCCAATCTGGCAGGTGTGAGGTGATTCCTCATTGTCATTTTAATTTGCATCTTTCTGATGATTAGTGACTGAGCACTTTTTCATGTCTCTTGGCCATCTGTAAGTCCTCTTTGGAAAAGTGTCTATTTAGGTCCTTTGCCCATTTTTATTTATTTATTTATTTTGTTGTTGTTGCTCCAAAAAGCTTTATTGTTTCCATTTGGTCCAATGCACGGGAGAGGGCTCCAGGGTGTTTAAAAGAATGGCTAATGGTTTCAGGGAGAGGCTCAGGCAAAAGCTAGACACCAGGGGAATGCAGAGGGGCCCCTCAAAGGCCTCTGGGCTCCAAAGGCTCCTTAGTTATGCTTGAGAGCAAGCCTTTCGAAGAGATACTCACCCAGCCCAGCCTAGGAGCCAGCCAGCCTGTGAAGGTTAGTCAGGTGGTTGCCCATCTTCTTGATGAGTTTCACCTCCTTCTTCAGGAAGTGGTTCTTCAGGAAGTCGCAGAGATGAGGGTCTGCATGGGTAGAACCCAGGACATGCAAAACCAAAAGGGCTTGGTTCAGGTTCTTCCCCAAGGCCATGGCAGCTTCCGTGGCATCCTGAATTTTGTCCCATTCATCATGGGAAGGCTTCACCATGTCCTGGAAAAGAATGCAGCCACCCCGCTGGTTTTACAGCTTTAAGAGATGCTCAGCACCCTTGCACTTCTTCGCCAACTCTCAGAAGTGGCCCACGCCCTCCAGAGCCACTTGGTCATGGTCGAAATAGAAGCCCAGAGAGAGGTAGGTGTAGGAAGCCCACACATGCAGGTTGGCCAGGTGGTTGACCGCAGCCTTCACCTCGGTGGAATGGTTCTAACAAATCTGGGAGCTCATGGTTGTTCCGCAATAAGGACTTAAGGTCAGAAAATGGTGTTGACTGGTCTTGGAGGCTGAGGCAATTCTGAAGGTGGTGCTTGGAAAAAAGGTTGGAAGGTGGTTAGAGGCTGGAAGAGGGGGCGTCCCTGGGTCTGTTCTGTCCAAACACTGTTGAGGCAAGAGATAGATCCAGGGGACACCAAGGGCACTGCCCCTTTGTCTATTTTTAAATTGGATTGTATTCCTTTTGTTAAGCTGTATGAGTTCTTTATATATTTTGGAAATGAACCCCTTACCCGATTTATCATTGGCAAATATATCCTCCCATACAGTGGGTTCCCTTTGCATTCTGAGGATAGGTTCTTTTGCTGTGCATCTTTTCAGTTTCATCTAATCCCGTTTGTTTATTTTTTCCTTTGTTTCTCTTGCCCTAAGAGATGTATAAGTGAAAATTCTTCTACATGAGATATCTAAGATTTTGCTGCCTATGTCTTCTTCAAAGATTTTTATGGTTTCACAAGTTACAATTAAGTATTTTATCCATTTTGAATTTATTCTTGTGTATGGTGTAAGTTGGTGGTCTAGTTTTATCTTTTTGCATGCACCTGTCCAATTTTCCCAACACCATTTATTGAAAAGACTGTCTTTTCTCCATTGTATGCTCTTGCCTCCTTTGTCAAATGTTAATTGTGCATACTGCCATGGGTCGATTTCTGGGTTCTCTGTCCTGTTCCATTGATCTATATGCCTGTTCTTGTGCCAGTACCAGGCTGTTTTGATTACAATGGCTTTGTAGTATAATTTGATATCTGGTATTGTGATCCCTCCAACTTTGTTTTCTTTCTCAAGTTTGCTGTGGCTATTTTGAGTCTTTTTTTATTCTGTATAAATTTTTGGAGTATTCGTTCTAGACCTGTGATATATGCCTTTGGCATTTTAATAGAAATTCCACTGAATCTATAGGTTGAATTGGATAGTATGGAAATTTTAATGATGTTAAATCTTTCAATCCATAAACAGAGTGTTTCCACTTGTTTGTATCTTCTTCTATTTCTTTTTTTAGTGTCCTGTAGTTTTCCAAGTAGAGGTCTTTTACCTCCTTGGTTAAGTTTATTCCTAGTATCTTATTTTTTGTTGTTGTTGCAATAGTAGAAGGGATTTAAAAAAATTTTTCTTTTAGAGAGATTATTATTGGTGTCTAAAATGTCATAGATTTCTGGATGTTAATTTTGTATCCTGCTATTTTGCCGAATTCATTTATTAACTCTAGTATTTTTTTTTTGGTGGATTCTGTAGGGTTTTGTTTATACAATATCACGTCATCTGAAAATGACAGTTTTACTTCCTTCTTTCCAATTTTGATGCCTCTTATTTTTCCTTCTTGTCTGATTGCTATGGTTAGGACTTCCAGTAATATGTTGAATAAGAGTGGTGAAAGCAGACATCCCTGTCTTGTTCCTGTTTTTTTTGTTGTTGTTAATCCTCACCTGAGATAGTTTTCCATTGTTTTTTAGAGAGAATGGGAGAGAGGGGGAGAGGGAGAAGAAGAGAGAGAGAATGAGACATCAACATGAGAAACACATTGATTGGTTGCCTCCTGCACAACCCCAACTGGGGCTGAGGATTGAACCTGCAACTGAAGTACATGCCCTTGACTGGGAATTGAACCTGTGACTGTTTGGTCCATGACTGAACACTCTAACCACTGAGTCTTTATGGCTACGTACCTCTATTTCTTCTTCTTCTAGCAGCAGTCCATTTAATATTTCTTACATTGCTGACTTGGTGGCGATAAACTCCTTTAGCCTTTTTTTTTTGTCAGGGAAGCTTTTATTTCACTTTCAATGTTAAATAATAGCCTTGCTGAATAGAGCAGTATTGGTTTCAGATTCTTGCTTTTAATTACTTTAAATACTTTATGCAATTCCCTTCTTGCCTGTAGTGTTGCTGTTGAGAAATCAGCTGACAGTCTTAAGGGACCTCTCTTGTAGGTCACTGACTCTCTCTCTCTTGCTGCCCTTAAGATTCTCTTTGTCTTCAACATTTGCCATTTTAATTATACTGTGTCTTGGAATGGGTCTCTTTGGGTTTATCTTGATTGGTACCCGCTGTGGTTCCTGAACTTGTGTGGCTTTTTCCTTCATTGGCTTAGGGAAGTTTTCTGTCATTCTTTCTTTTTTTTCTAATTTGTTTTTTCCTTATCTGAGGGTATTTTTCCATTGTTTCTTAAATAGAGTAGAAGGAAGGGAGGGAGGGAGGAAGAGAGATAGAAACATCGATATGAGAGACACACAATGATTGGTTGCCTCCCTCATGACCCTGACCGGGGCCAGGGGCTGCACCTGCAACCCAGATACATGCCCATGAATGGGAATCAAACCTGCATACTAAGTAGTATGCATGTGTGTATGTGTATAGTTTTGTTTAAATTATTATGATATACAAAGTATTGATAAAGTGTTTTTAAATAGCTGAAGTATACTGAATGGCTGTAGCAAACTTTTGAGAAAGGCAAACAAGAATAGTGGAAGAAAAAACAAATTAAGCTAAGTCCCAGGCAGGCTGGTAGTGTAATATGCAGTGTATAATGTAAAGCCAGTAAAGTGTATTGGTGATCCTGGAGGAAATAGTTACCATTCTTATCATTGAATAGGTAGGTGACAGAAAAGCAGAATAGTATTAATAATACACACAAATAAGATTCAAAATGAAGCTAAATAGTATTTAGTTTTCTGCATAGTTTATAGTTCTGAATAGTTTAGTTTTCAAGATAAAAAACATCCAGAAATAAATCCAGTATAAATTTGAAAATTCAATGTATGACAAAGATAGCTTTTCTTATCACAGCAAATTATTTAAGAAATGTTACTGTCACAACTGGCTATCCATTGAAAAGAAAACAGATTGTATCCTATTATTGTATTCCATATATAGAAATTAACTTGAGTTTAATTGAAAATAATCTAGCCCTGGCCAGGTAGTTCGCTCAGTTGATTCGAGTGTCATCTGGATATGCCAAGGTTTCAGGTTCAATCCTCAGTCAGGACACATACAGGAATCAACCAATGAATACATAAATAAGTGGAACAACAAACCTATGTCTCTCTCTCTCTCTTTTTCTCTCAAATCAATAAATAAAAAATGTAAAAAGAAATCTAGGCTACTACATGATACAACTCATGTACAGATAAGATTTTTTGTCAGCTAAGCTAGAAACCCAAAAGTTATAAAAGAAATCATAGATGCACTTTACTATCTATGGCAAAAGATATTACATGTTAAGTCAACAGACTAATGAAGAGTTGAAAAACTGATGACAGAAATGGTAATTTCTATCACAAATTGAAAAGAAAGAATAATCAACCAATATAAATAGGTATTTAAAGAAGAGGTAGTTTTAACTGAAAAACATATGAATATACATGTTGAAATTTGATGCTGTTTTATAAAATAAATATTTAAAAAAATTTCTTTATTGATTTTTAGAGAGAGAGAAAGAGAGAAGGAGAGCTAGAAATATCGATGAGAGAGAACATCAACTGGCCACTTCCTGCATGCCCCCCACTGGGGATTGGGCCCACAACCTGGGCATGTGCCCTGACCAGGAATCGAAGACCTCTTGGTGCATGGGTTGACGTTCAACCACTGAGCTACACCGGCCGGGCTAAAATAAGTATTTTAAAAAATCTATATTAGTATTTCTGTGTGTGTGTAACTATTTTTTTAAGAATGTATCACCATGCAGAAAAAAATTCAGAAGGATGCTCACTAATTTTGCAACAATGTTGTGAAGTAGTAAATAGAGATG